AATAATAATTTCGTAAGTTTCTAGATAATAGTTAGAATTGTCAAATGTGCAAAATTCAAATGTATTAATCTGTGTGGCAGGTCTCAGGACGATTAGTTGTAGGTGTGTATGTGCAAAATAACAAATGCTATTTTTAATTTAACATAGCTACCATATTTATTTATTTTTCGTTTATTTCAATGATATATTAAACTTTCAGTGTGTATATATCATAAACATACTAGCAAACATGGTAGAGAGTTAAATATGTGAGTTATTTGTCAAATTTGTTTAACATGTTTTTATGCTTTTCTTTCAAAAAGTTATAAATCTTATATAACAACTTATAGGACACCTATATATATATATATATATATCAATGATGAACACATTGCACTCTGCAAAAAAGTTTACAATCACATCTGATAGTTAAACTGTATGCATGATTTCACAGAGAATGGTAGAACCACCCTTGAAAATTTGTGCAAATCTGTGATTTTTGAATAAAAACATTAATTACTTCATAGCTAGTATTTTTAATAGCTTATCTATTTATATTTTTATTATCATTTTTATATCTTCATATATATATATATATATATGTATATATAGATTTGATAATCAGTAACTTACATGTATGTAAACAACTTTTGAGAAGAATCCTTTCAACACTTTGAATAGATATCGATTTGTAGTTCGATTTTAAAGCTCTTCCTACCAATAATCACTTTTATAAACAACTAACCTTTTAAGAAAAATAAAATATTTCAATTACTTAACATTTGTAATTATTTTTATACTTGCATTTATTTAGTGACACTCTCAACGCACATAACAGATAATCCATCGCCTAAGAAAGATACTATTCTGCAGTGTTGTTGATCATCCAATTCCTGCATGATATTTATTGTTTTGTGAAGCATCGAAGAACATTACAATTTTAAATTAAAGGAAAAATATGACATTCAACGATGTTGTAGCACATGATACACTAGATAGAAAACTATGAAAATAACAGAAAAATAATGATCATGTTGTTACACAAGTTTAGTTGCATTTTTGCTTCAAAGCTATTGTAAAGTGCCAGATTACACTATATGTGGGTGTTCAAAGCCTTAAATACAAGTTTGAGTAAATTCTGGGCTACAGATCAAATTGAAAACGATTATATTTCAAGTGAAAAGCACAATTTCACCAACTAGCACTTCCAAAAAAAAAAAAAAAAAAAAAAGAGAAAAGAAAAAAGAAAAAAGAAAAACATGCTAAAAACATATTGAAACAAGAATACAGTATTAAAATCGTACCGGTAAATATGTATGTATGTATGTTTGTATGTATACAATACATTACACAAACATATGTACATAGATTCATTCTTTTACTCTGAGCACGCTGGTGGTGTGATGCAACAATGCGCCTCTAATTTTAGGTGCATTGGCACCCACATAATAACTACACAAAGATTTATAGATGAAATATATGTTCACAGCAGGTTATCCACATTTTCATAAAATCGTTTAATTCTCTCATTAATATGTATTAGGGTTGTTTAGTTTTGATAAATCTTAAAAAAATAATACACGTGGCAGCTTGAAACTTATAGATTCAACAGAAGAGACATTTCATGATAAACTTCGGTCTCATTCACCTGACAACAAGTTTTCATAAATTTTTAAAATTGGTACAAGGAAATAGTAAAAGAAAAAGGTATGAGTTTTTTCTTATAAAGAGAACAAAGTCCTTTTTTTGTTTATCTAATTTATCTCAGCCCCTTTGTCATTTCATGATGATGTCTTCTTCTTGTGCGTGCCCATGGTTCCCTCCCTCCTTCACTCCCTCCCTCCCTCTCATTGAGTGCAAAGGACCAGACATTCTCACACGCCTGCCATTATGGATGTTGGTGAACAGCATCCCCCCCCCCACCTTGCCCTTGCTTGCTTTACTTTATAGTCCCCCCTCATTCAATATGTGCCCGTGACTGACCCATTTAGGGGACCTGATGGTGACTGACTGTCTCAACCATCCTCCCTCCTTTCATCCACTGTCGATGAACGTACCCACCCATGTCCGTGGATGTGACCCTTTTCTGTCCATTTGATCCTGGTAGGATTTAGCTCACTCCCCCCCCCCTTTTGCTTCAGTTTCACTTTTAGCCTTCTTCGTGTGCTTCCCCCCCTTCGATCTTTGTCATCATAATGTTGTGGTCACATGAGCACATTGGTCATCCATTGGAAGCACACAAATGTCCCCATTTTCCTTTTGTCTTTTTTCGTCTCTAATATTGTTATGAATGTGGTTTTCATTTTTTATTTCCCATCCTCCCTCCCCCCCGCCGGTGCCCCGGGAGCACACATCATCATCCAAGTTTTGAAAACGAAGGGGATATCTGAAGCAATCTGCTTACAACCCATCCTCCCTGCGCCACCAGGAGGATCCAATTGCATCAGAAGCCATGCCCTTAACACCCGCTCTCAACCGCCCCCACCACGTTCCCAATCATTGGAACGATGAAACCTCGTTCCCAACGCCAGAACCCCCTCACAGAAGCTGTAAATTCCAAAGTGAGATAAGGGCTGCGCACGATGACCGAGAGCATGGAGCTAATCCGGAGGTAACTGAATACGAATTCTATCCCCTCCCCCCCCCCCGCATTGAATTTTAACTTCCAGTGTGCGACTTACACGGAATTGGGTACGTTCTCACGTCGCTCCTGGCAGCGCATGAAACCCATTCATCCACGTATGCATTCATCCATCAAGTGATGCAAAATCCAGAAGCAGAGCGGCATCCCCTAACACCGTACGGGCATCCGGTGGAACAGTGCCGGGGGAGGGCTGGACAAATGCCCCAAGTCAGAAAGTCTTTGGCTGAAGGAACATGAGAAGACATTGATTTGTGCACTGGGACCGGGCCGAGAAGGGTGGAGAAAAATGATGGGACGAAGAAAGGAAGAGCCCATGACTGCCGTCAGCTGTGTGCAGCCTCCCTGCTCGTAGACGGGGTCGAGGGCTCTACAAACTGGGAGCATGGCCATGATTGAGCCTTTGATGTGGTATTCAAGGCAAGGCCCCAACGGGACGGAGAAAGCACAAACGCATGAGCATTCAAGTTCCTCGGGTCTTTAATTCAATCCTGTTGGTTGTTCCCCCGTTTTGGAAAATCCCAAGGCATGGAGTGCTCCACAATGTCACAGCTGTCTCATCACTGCTAAAATGAATGAATGAATGATATTGACAAGTTTACATAATTCAAAGTGAGTTTCATGAGTGATAGATTAGGTATATATATATAATAATAATAATAATAATAATTCTGCACAATAAGAAAAATCATATGAAGAGGTTCAAGTTGTTACTAAAGATAACAGCCATGTTTCTATTGGCTTTATTTTTGTTCAATTATGAATTGTGTTCTTATTTATGCTACTACTTGTACTTTAGGTGTTCTGCTTGGACAGTAATTCAGCTTTTGCACACAAAAATTCCTCCGTGTTGAATTACGTGTAGAATTCCCAAACATCCTCACGGAAAACGAAAACAATAGCTGAACAATGATAAGTGGTAATGTGAAAAAATACATCTCAAATTTATTTTTGGGGATTTTGTACAATCACACAGAACATGTGACTCTTAGAATTTGTGTATGTGTAATTACTAAGTAAAAATACAATTACACAAATTCTAAGATAGATTGAACATTTGATTGTGCATGTGGGTCCATGACTGACATTATTATTTGAATGGTATTCAGAATATGATGTGAAACATAGTTGTATATGGAAAACATTACATTGTCTGTTGCTGTTGGTTTGGTTCTACATTGGTGTTGTTGTCAGGCAATTAACTCTTTGACATTATTTATTTATTTATTTGAGAATAGGTCCAAGTTCAATTTATTTTTAATTAGTAAAATATGCACGCACATGCTGCAAAGTATCATGATCAGTATTGCTATCATTAATATTACAGTAATGATAATGAGTCTACCATACATGCAAATGGTACACTACATTGCCACTTATGCTTATAACCTGTAATTGTGAACAACCCCAAATTATGTATTTCCCACAATTCATTAATACATTATTTACATGGTGAAATACTTGGACATTTCTTTTCTTATTCAATACATATGAAGTCAAATAAAGAAATAGAGAAGATATTTTTATTTTTATATGTTTTTTCAATCTCAGTACATCATGACAAAAACAAACAGGAACACCTTGCTGCAGGAACATCTTGAAGAGACAAAGGCACAGGCGTACGTTCCCATCTGGTCATGGAAGTTCTCATCACGTTCAGGTAGGGAACGACATTGTCATCTCTGCAGTGTAGATCTGTGGTTGCATTTGCATCGATCCCGAAACACTGTTCATCCATCAGTGGTGGTAACCACAGCAATTTTGCGATTAGTGGGGACCCTAAAAAATCCGGGCCCACAGTTGCTTAAAGGAGGATGAACGAAGGAGTATTTTAGAGGTATTCGTTTGAAACAGCTCTGATGTAGATCTTCAAAACAATGGTTAAATAAAATAATGCATGAAAAAAGCAGAACAGTGGGATTGATTGGGGATGTCTGTCTGCAAAATTTGGCTGCTACTTATTGACCCTGAAATGGACAAGAGAGTGACTGTGATAGTGGAAGAGAATAGCTGTCATCAGGACACGGGGTATATTATCACGGATTCACAGTATCAAATACAAACGAGGGAGTTTTTTTTGTTTGTTTTTGTCAATAAAATACGGGGAAGAAATTTTCGAGTAGATTGAATGCAACGCAGCGCAAGAAACCTAGAGGCAAATCCGCCACTACTGTAGCGCGGTAAAAGGGCAAGGAGCGGATAAGCAGGGTGGAGGCGTCTGGTACTGTCTGCGCTCACCGCACAGGAGCAGCGCGCGGTGGATGGACGACTAGGCCAGCGGGAGAGGGGGAATGGGTGAAAGGACGATGCATCCTGTGCATCGAGGGGGTGGGTGTGTGTGTATGTGTGTGTGTTCAATGAGCGTGGATTTGTCTGTAGCACAGCAGAGGTCCAGTCACGATGAACGGGGAGCATCATTAGCAGAGAGAGGATAACAGAACAGACAGAAAGCCAGACAGAAGCAGGACAAGCGACGAGGACAACTGACTTACGAATAGATACTTTCGGACCTTGGTCCTCGAATTTTCTTTACTCAGTGTGGGAAGGCGCAGATGGGCAGAGGAGGGTAATGGCGGAGGACGACCACCGGGAGGACCCCACATGCCCGCCATCCCATCCATAGCTCTGTTGCTGCGGCACCAGCAACCACTGCAGCACGGACTGCCGTAGCCCTTGGCGTTGTAGCTCTCACTCTCTCTCTCCTGGCCGCGTCGTAGACTTCCCACTGACCTACTCTGGGGTGCAGCAGTGTCGAATTAGGGGAGGTTGCGTGTGTGGAATCTGGATGGACGGTACTTGAACCGATCTTGGTTGAGGAGGGGTCGGAGGAAAGAACTAGGGCACACGGACTGTCACATCAGCATCATGGCTAACTCGTTTTGGTGTCCTAGCACAGGTGTCTGTGTCGGAGTTTAGCACTGAATTTGCGCATGCGGATGTCGGGACCGGCGTGCTGTTGACGGATAGGTTTTTGTGGTTATTGAGAACAGATGCGTTGGGACAGCAAGCCACTCCGGTACTTCGTCATCCTGTGGGTGTTTAAGTGCCTGCCTTTATATAAGTCCTGAAAGGGTTGGGTTAGTTAAGTGTGCGCTATCAGTGTGAGTGAAGGACTTGGAAATTTGGTCACCTACTGCCACACCCTTGGCTTTAAACTTGTGTTAGAGGTCCTTCGGTTCATGTCTTACATGCCGTGCACTCGACTGACTCCAACATCTGTCTAATCTGAACTCGACGGTCGAAGTAGGGACTCTTTCCCTCTTATGCTCCAGTTTAAGGTTGATGCAGCTGTTAATAGATATCTAACCTATCGGCCTACCAGTCTAGTCTTGGGTTTGTACCACTACGCAAACCGGGTTTCCGTCCCCCACTGGCATTCTGTGCTCTGGATCTTCTTCGCTTTGCGTCGCCATACCTCGGGGAAGGGTTTCCTAGAGGCGAAGGAGCGTGGACCTCGTCATGAGGAGATGCAAGTAGGAGAGAGGTTTCTGCAAGACGTGGCCTGTTGGTTGGCCTAAGCGGAGGGCTTCGTGCACTTAAGGAAGCAGAGCACAGTTGTGGTGGTGAATACCGTGATTGATTCGACGAATCCTTAACTCCTAACTTCGGTTAAGCTAACGTCGGCGTCAACGGCATCATCGTGGCAAATTTCAAGCTAGATTTGAGCGAGATGCCATTTGAAGTGATAGGAGCGATCAAGGTGAGCACGCCTGTACGGCATGAGTCGCAGCTTGTGACGGAGTATAGGGGAGGGTAATAGGTTGATGCTCCGCGGTTGAGCTTGCGGATCTGAGGTGGGAGAAGGGGCGCGATCAGGGTGTGTTGGTTAAGGCATCGTGGAACCCTGGGTGAGTGAATTGGTGCTAATCCACACATCATATTATTGTTACAGCACGTAAAGTGCACTGGATGACTTGATGCATAGTGCTCGAAGCCTCTTCCTGTGGTGTAACCAAATCTGTCCGGGTAGGCGGGTACTCCTCCAATTCTGGACAGCTAGGAATAGGGTGCCTACAAGCGGTTGTGCGGGAGTAGTAATTAGTGGTGGTCGGAGGCCAAAACAGATCCATGGGAGCATAGGCATCTAATGTGTATTTTTCTAGCTGTACATGTATTGCCCAGTTTGGATCGGCAATTTGAGTTGGTAATGTGAAGTGTTTGAGGTCTTCTATCATGCTTAGAGAGTTGAAGTACATAGGGAGGACGTGGGGGGCAGATGGAAGAACCCGACATGAAAAGTGCTGTGAGGAGTGTGAAGATAGTTTGGTGTGGTCGTAGACTGACCTGTTCTAATGACGTTTGAGGGTGTATCAGGCGTTCAATTCTGGGCTTTTGGGTGGTTGCCCGTACGGTGCATGGGGGCGGAGCAAGTCTGGCATGTAGAATTCGTCCCAAACAAAATTGGAGTCTGCGCAAGTCTGCCTCCCCAGACCAAAGCATCTAAGAAGCAGCTGGTTGAATGTCAGCATGAGAAGGACCTTTGAGACGAACGCTACGTAGGTCCGCATCCCTAGGTTTGGAGAGTGTCACTCGGAACAGGACGGCGCAGTAGACCTACATAAGCTCTAGCAGAAAGCAGTTAGCGATTGCGCCGTCTCAGCTCCCCGTGTCCTGGCCCGGTATGCTCGAGCCCGGGCTGAGGTTGTCGATGGGCATCAAAACCGAAAAACTGGATGACAGCGGAGGGCGTGAGAGGAGCATGGCAAGCGGGGTAGGGGAAAGCGTGGATCGGCTGGATGCGCAGCTGTGGCATGCGTGTGCGGGAGGCATGGTTCAACTCCCGCAGGTGGGTGCGAAAGTGATATACTTTCCTCAGGGGCACGGAGAACAAGCTGCGACGACTCCTGATTTCTCCGCATCGATGGGTCCGTCAGGAACGATACCGTGCCGAGTAGTGTCAGTAAATTTCCTGGCGGACACGGAGACGGACGAGGTGTTCGCACGAATGCGGCTGCAGCCGGAGGGACTGCATGGATTGAACGATATGACGGAGGAAGCCCCATCGTCCCCTCCTCCCGAGAAGCCGGCCTCGTTTGCGAAAACGCTGACGCAGAGCGATGCGAACAACGGAGGAGGATTTTCGGTGCCGCGGTATTGTGCGGAGACAATATTTCCGCCTCTGGACTACTCGAGCGATCCTCCCGTGCAGACCGTCTTGGCGAAGGATGTGCATGGAGACGTGTGGAAGTTTCGGCACATATACAGGTATGAGGTGCAATTGCCATGGTTGAGTTGGATTCGGTGTGTGGCATGGGTGGTCGCTGGGATCGGTAGCGGTAGTTGGATGAGCGTGGAACGGAGTGGACTGTAGGCGCTGATGGGTGTTTTGAATGCACAGGGGGACCCCAAGGCGACATCTGTTGACGACGGGGTGGAGCACGTTTGTGAATCAGAAGAAGCTGGTAGCAGGGGACGCGATCGTGTTTTTGCGCAGCGCTTCGGGGGAGCTGTGTGTGGGAGTGAGACGGTCGATGCGGGGCGCGAGTGGCGGGGACTCGTCGACATGGCACTCGTCTGCTAACGCGACGCGGGCATCGCGTTGGGAGGTGAAGGGGACTGAGAGTTTTTCGGATTTCTTCGCCGCAGTGGGCGACAATGGTCACGGGGGATCGAGCAACGGGGTGTCGAGATCAGGGAGTCAGGGTGCGTCGACGACGAGCAGCTTTGCGCGGAACCGCGCGCGTGTGACTGCGAAGTCTGTACTGGACGCCGCTGCACTTGCAGTGGCAGGAAAGCCGTTTGAGGTTGTGTACTACCCACGTGCGAGTACAGCAGAGTTCTGCGTGAAGGCTGGTCTGGTGAAGCAGGCCCTGGATCATACGTGGTACGCAGGGATGCGATTTAAGATGGCATTCGAGACGGAAGACTCGTCCAGGATCAGTTGGTTCATGGGAACGATCGCGGCGGTGAAACCAGCGGATCCCCTGTTGTGGCCGAATTCGCCATGGCGCGTCCTTCAGGCACGTGCTGTGTGGTGAAGTGTGGTTGGGTGTTGCCGGGGAGATAGTGTGTGGGATTGGGGATTGGTGGACGCATGAGTTGTTTGGGAAAGCGGGGGTGGATGGGTGGAGGGGCAGTGATGTGTCGGCATGGGGGGGTGTTTGTGGGTGTGGAAGGTGCTGACGAGGTGGTGGCAATGGTGGGATGGCAGGTAACATGGGACGAGCCGGACCTGCTGCAGGGTGTGAGCCGTGTGAGCCCTTGGCAGGTGGAGCTGGTGGCTACGCTGCCAATGCAGTTGCCCCCGTTCTCGTATCCGAAGAAGAAGCTGCGTGCTGTCCAGCCCCAAGAGCTGCAGTTGCAGGCACCCGGGCTGCTGAACCTGCCGCTGGCAGGGTCGAGCAGTTTCGCGGGGCAGTTGCCGACCCCATGGGGCGGCCCTGCACTTTTAGAAAACGCCTCTGCAGGCATGCAGGGAGCCAGGCATGATCGCTTTAACGGGCCTCCATCCATGGATTTCCGGTATAGTAATTACAAACGTGCTCGAGAGCACCCGAGCGAGAACCAGTACGCGGAGCAGGGGCAGACTTCTCCCGCCGGTAGCGCACGGGTGGTGTTGAGCGACCCCCTATGTGGTGACAGTCACCACCAGTTCTCTTTTTTGAGCAGCGGACAGGCGCACAATGGTGGGCAGCAGCAGCAACAACAGCAGCAGAGCTCGCAGATGTCGGGTAGCGGGCTGACGATGGGGCTGATGCCAGGTGGGAGCCCGACGAGAGATGACGGTGGGAGCAATTCGAAGTCGAAGTTGAAGAGCAGCCCCGCTCCGACAACGTTTTTACTGTTTGGGCAGTCCATCGACCCGAGCAGCAACTCGAAGGCTGCGCAGGAGCAGTGCGTGGCATCGGCGAGCAGCTCTGTGGAGGGGTCTTCTCTGTTCCAGGAGGGGCTGCGAGTTTCGCCGACGAGTTACTCGTCGTCGGATAACACGTTGGAGCACAAGGACAGGATGAGGAGATTCAATGCGGACCTGAACGGCGCGTCGGGAGGGACGGGGGATGGGGCGATGTCAAGGTACCGGCAGAACGAGGGCGGGCCGTGGCCAGAGCTGTCGATTGGGACGGAGGTGGGGAGCTTGAAGTGGTTTAAGGAGCAGCGGTTGGAGAAGGAGAAGGGGTCGAACGAGGCGCTCCAGCACTGCAAGGTGTTCAGAGAGGGCGATGAGGTGGGGCGGACGCTGGACCTGGCGAACTTCAAGTCGTATGAGGAGGTGTACGATCGTTTGGCAGGGATGTTCAGCGTTCCGGCAGCGAGTTTCAAGAATCGAGTGGTTTACCAGGATGGCGAGGGGTGTACGCTGCCAGTGGGTGCGGAGCCATACGGGTAGGGTGAGACGCCAACTGGAGCTGACGTGAGTGGTGTCACATACATGTGTAGTGATGTGTAGAATAGTTTGAGAAGAGGTGGTGTTTACACATGGTGGAGGGTATGGGACGAGTGGGTAGGCCTGGGGGAGCGACAGCAGTGATACGTGGGCGTGTTGGTGATGGCAGGAACTTTGTGGCAGCCGTGAGGCGGCTGACAATTCTTCCGTGAAGAAGGCAAATGGGGGTTTTGGGTGTGCGATCATAGCTCAGTAGGTCTTTTTTACATGATATAAGAGTAGATTTGGAAGAACGTACGTACCGGCAGTAATGAGTGATGGGGCTGGCTTCGTTGCAATGGGTGGAGTGTGAGACGTGTTCCCGTAGATTATGGTGGGGGAGGTGGCACGGGAGGGTTGTGGATAAGAATTGCACAAACCGAACGTACGATTTCACACAAGGGTGGAGTGGAAGCCATGCAGGGTATATGTGTGTAATACAGCTTTCGCCGAAGTGGACAAGTGTAAAGCGTTCCAGGGTTTGAGATGGAATGATTTTGTGACTAATGCAGTGGCACTTCGATTATTACATTGTGAACGTGGAATGGGTATGATGATTTTGGAGAGTTGCATCTGCGTTGGTGTTGTGACGGACAACGATTAGTGGAGCGGAGTGGGGGCGGGGGGGGGTGTTGTGGACGAGGATGGCAGAGTGCTTGATGGTTTGAGTGACAGGCAGGTGCAGTGGAAGGCGAGGAGGGTTTGCATGTCTGATGCAGGTGTCGTGGAATTCGAGCAGTGTAGAGCGTTCCAGGGTTGGGTTGGAATGAGATTAGGACGGATGCAGTGGCAGTATTGTCACTGTATTGTTCACATGGAATGGATGTATATATGGATGAGTCGTATTTGTCCATTAGTGAAAATTTCCAGCTTGTGTTGCATCCGGCCAACCTCAAAGTGGTTGGCTGCTAGAGGAGATTTTCTCTAATCTGGTGGTTTTGCGCAGTTTAATGGAAAATCATGGTGCGGTTGTGGATAGCATAGCCAACCCTTGAAGGTCTGTAATTTTGCAATAGAAGACATGCGGAAGGAAATGGAGTCAATTTGACCTCAATGCTATTTGAGTTTATATCGATGAAGCTTTCGTTCAGTCTTTCCGAGCTAATGCAGCTTGTCCTTGCTATTTGTTTTGATCTCTTTCCTCGGTCTTAGCAGGTTGCAATTTGCAAGTTGTTTACCAAGGGGTCAATCCCTTCACTGAGCAATAAACAAGATGATCCCTCATTTGGTCAACATTTCTCGAGTTAGTATTGTTGTTGCATGTTCACTTATATTTTTTTGAGTTCAGCTAGATAGATTAGTATTGAAGATGGATGTGAGCTAAAATAATCCCCCATTACGTCCAGCTCACAACAATTGAATTATGTAATATTTTTTATGAAATGTAATTATTACTTAAATCTTATTATATAATCCTTCAATCTGTCAAGATTAATAAAATAATTAAAATCTCCACCACAATTTATACTTATAAGTCATACAATTAAGTTTATACTTAGAGGATTTTTTTTCTTCTTATTATTTTTTTATAATTCTTTTGTAGACCAAAACTCCATCTAAGAATAATTTGTCATCTACATATGAGTTTTCATCCAAATTTTCATCCAAAGAATATTCATCCATAAGTTTTCATCTTATTCTAACTTAAATTCATTTGTGATATTTCATCCCAATCAATTTTAATCATTTGATATACCATCATCCATTCTTTAAGCTAACCTTATCCAATTGAACCTAACATCATCCAATGGCAATTTTCATCCAATTTGAATTAATCCAAGTTAGCAAACTTATGGAATGCAATGTTACAAAAAGACAACTTGTTGTTGTCCATCGCCACTAATTCCAACACCTCTTCAAGCAAGTTGTTGTTGAAGACTTAGTCCTTTCAACAACACCCAATTATTCAAGTCTAATTGCAATGGTGAATTGTTCATGATGAGTTAGTGCAAGCCTGCAAAATTGATGTAAAGAAATTACTGAGTGAAACAGTCAGAGTCAATACTCATGCTACAGAAATAGCAAGAGCCAATTCTTATTTCCTTCTAACTATTAATTTGTAGCAAACAACAATATAATCCTAATATTTGTCTCTAAAAAAGGAGTTGTTTCATTTCATATTTCGATCTCGTTTTTGTTTGGGTGGAGTTGGGGTTCGGTTTTTTTCATGACGTGTTTGAGATTATGATTTTTGTTCTTATGATCTTTGTTGAATGGATGGACTGAACCCTAAACCCTAAACCTGGCCAGCGTGGTGCCTGCACTTAATATAGTCGATGGTACGAAATTTGGCTTGAGTTTGCTGGTTTAATCGTAAAATGAGCCGAACGGTTGTTGTGGCAGCTTGTGACTGAGCTGATGTGTCGTGGAGCTTTTTAAGTTCCGTTAGTTTTACTATTTAGCTTCTGCTGAGCTTGTTAAGTGAGGCTTTATCGAGTGTGATCACGGATGAGTTTGTTGTGTCGGGAGCCATTTGTTGGAAGATCGTGTGTATGAACGTCTTGCGTTGTATCGATCGTTCGTGTGGTTCCTCAATTCGTCAGCTGGTTACTGATTGTTGTAATCATTAGATTTTGCATCGCACTTAATGTCTCTCAAGCTACGCGCTATTTCGAAATGAGAGTTGGGGATGAAACGTAATGTCGTGCGAGGGCACAATTGGCGTTTAGTATACATGCACTACCTCTTTGAGGTGATGGGTTCGTTTGGTCGGTAAATGGAGGGATGGGTCTAAATTTTGAACCATTATCAGTTTCGAGATGTCGGGCAGCACCTGCAATGATGGCAACTAGCGGCAGAGAATTGTTTTCAGAGTTGGAAGTCATGTCTGTTTCCTCATTGCATACATTACAGGAATCTGGGGTTGGGGCTTGAGGTTAAGTGCGTGTGAATGATGTGTGGATGCCGCAGTGCTGAGCGTGAGTGCCACTGAATTGCGCACGGGTAATCCTGTAGGGTTGTTGACGGCCGAGATTGAATGTGCGGCACAGCTTGGTGGAGGGAGAAGTGAAATGGATTGGAAGTGTGAAGTCGCTGTTTGTCGACTTGGTGAAGGGATGGCCTAGGCTGTGCAGTGTAGAGTTGATTTCTGTAGTCAGCTTGGTACCTTATCATTCATCAAATATAGGTACTATTGGAGGGTGGATTTGGAAATGTACACTAGTTAAGGCTCTTTCTTTGCATGTACACACAGCTGTTCACATCCTTTATTACACATAATATGTGCACATATATGTTCACTGTATCCATTTGTACACTTCAGCACACTGGGTATTTTGAGGAACTTTGATGAAATATGGCACTGAGATTCATGTGATTGTGAGATATGCAGTGAATATACAGAATTTTATGTGGAATTTTGGAATGAGGTCATGCTAACCAATGGCTACTAGTTTGCAGTTATATAGTTTTATAGATACAAATTGACATTTTCGTATTTGTAGGTGATTAATAGGTTGAAAACATGGCCAACAAGTTGACCATATGGCGCACATGTAGAAAGCTTATTTTGCAAGTAAGATACATATGAGGAGTCCTACAGAATGTTGCCATATATCTCCTTGTTAGATGGTATATATGAAGGCAAGAGTGAGACCTTCACTCTTGTCAACATCTTTTTTGTTCTTAGTCTAGTTTTAAGAGCCTCTAATATTCTTGTCTTTAGCAATAGCCATTCTATTTATATATATATATATATATATATATAAGCAATGCTATGTATGCTTGCAAATGAACTAACACAAATACAACTATTGAAGTTTTTTTTGTTTTACATAGCATATCATAAGTGTACAATTATGTTGCATTGCAATTTAAAAGTAATAGAAAAATGCACAAGATGATGAAACGTTTCTTACTTATTTGAACTATATTATTTTCATTGATTTTTTATTTTTTTGTTTCTGTATATTAGAATTCATGGATTGTGTAAGAAAAAATATATATGAAATAAATCCATTTCTTTAGTGTGGTCTCAAATTGCATTCAAGACCTATTAAAAGTAAATAAAGAAGTCCAATATTGCTAGTTCTTCACATGCGTATAAAAGAGATTCAAGTTAATAGAAACAAAAACAACATATTTATTCTGATGAAGATTAATTTCATTTCATTCCACTCACAAATGTAATATAGTAGCATCAAGCACTCTGCCATCCTCGTCCACAACACCCCCCCCCCCCGCCCCCACTCCGCTCCACTAATCGTTGTCCGTCACAACACCAACGCAGATGCAACTCTCCAAAATCATCATACCCATTCCACGTTCACAATGTAATAATCGAAGTGCCACTGCATTAGTCACAAAATCATTCCATCTCAAACCCTGGAACGCTTTACACTTGTCCACTTCGGCGAAAGCTGTATTACACACATATACCCTGCATGGCTTCCACTCCACCCTTGTGTGAAATCGTACGTTCGGTTTGTGCAATTCTTATCCACAACCCTCCCGTGCCACCTCCCCCACCATAATCTACGGGAACACGTCTCACACTCCACCCATTGCAACGAAGCCAGCCCCATCACTCATTACTGCCGGTACGTACGTTCTTCCAAATCTACTCTTATATCATGTAAAAAAGACCTACTGAGCTATGATCGCACACCCAAAACCCCCATTTGCCTTCTTCACGGAAGAATTGTCAGCCGCCTCACGGCTGCCACAAAGTTCCTGCCATCACCAACACGCCCACGTATCACTGCTGTCGCTCCCCCAGGCCTACCCACTCGTCCCATACCCTCCACCATGTGTAAACACCACCTCTTCTCAAACTATTCTACACATCACTACACATGTATGTGACACCACTCACGTCAGCTCCAGTTGGCGTCTCACCCTACCCGTATGGCTCCGCACCCACTGGCAGCGTACACCCCTCGCCATCCTGGTAAACCACTCGATTCTTGAAACTCGCTGCCGGAACGCTGAACATCCCTGCCAAACGATCGTACACCTCCTCATACGACTTGAAGTTCGCCAGGTCCAGCGTCCGCCCCACCTCATCGCCCTCTCTGAACACCTTGCAGTGCTGGAGCGCCTCGTTCGACCCCTTCTCCTTCTCCAACCGCTGCTCCTTAAACCACTTCAAGCTCCCCACCTCCGTCCCAATCGACAGCTCTGGCCACGGCCCGCCCTCGTTCTGCCGGTACCTTGACATCGCCCCATCCCCCGTCCCTCCCGACGCGCCGTTCAGGTCCGCATTGAATCTCCTCATCCTGTCCTTGTGCTCCAACGTGTTATCCGACGACGAGTAACTCGTCGGCGAAACTCGCAGCCCCTCCTGGAACAGAGAAGACCCCTCCACAGAGCTGCTCGCCGATGCCACGCACTGCTCCTGCGCAGCCTTCGAGTTGCTGCTCGGGTCGATGGACTGCCCAAACAGTAAAAACGTTGTCGGAGCGGGGCTGCTCTTCAACTTCGACTTCGAATTGCTCCCACCGTCATCTCTCGTCGGGCTCCCACCTGGCATCAGCCCCATCGTCAGCCCGCTACCCGACATCTGCGAGCTCTGCTGCTGTTGTTGCTGCTGCTGCCCACCATTGTGCGCCTGTCCGCTGCTCAAAAAAGAGAACTGGTGGTGACTGTCACCACATAGGGGGTCGCTCAACACCACCCGTGCGCTACCGGCGGGAGAAGTCTGCCCCTGCTCCGCGTACTGGTTCTCGCTCGGGTGCTCTCGAGCACGTTTGTAATTACTATACCGGAAATCCATGGATGGAGGCCCGTTAAAGCGATCATGCCTGGCTCCCTGCATGCCTGCAGAGGCGTTTTCTAAAAGTGCAGGGCCGCCCCATGGGGTCGGCAACTGCCCCGCGAAACTGCTCGACCCTGCCAGCGGCAGGTTCAGCAGCCCGGGTGCCTGCAACTGCAGCTCTTGGGGCTGGACAGCACGCAGCTTCTTCTTCGGATACGAGAACGGGGGCAACTGCATTGGCAGCGTAGCCACCAGCTCCACCTGCCAAGGGCTCACACGGCTCACACCCTGCAGCAGGTCCGGCTCGTCCCATGTTACCTGCCATCCCACCATTGCCACCACCTCGTCAGCACCTTCCACACCCACAAACACCCCCCCATGCCGACACATCACTGCCCCTCCACCCATCCACCCCCGCTTTCCCAAACAACTCATGCGTCCACCAATCCCCAATCCCACACACTATCTCCCCGGCAACACCCAACCACACTTCACCACACAGCACGTGCCTGAAGGACGCGCCATGGCGAATTCGGCCACAACAGGGGATCCGCTGGTTTCACCGCCGCGATCGTTCCCATGAACCAACTGATCCTGGACGAGTCTTCCGTCTCGAATGCCATCTTAAATCGCATCCCTGCGTACCACGTATGATCCAGGGCCTGCTTCACCAGACCAGCCTTCACGCAGAACTCTGCTGTACTCGCACGTGGGTAGTACACAACCTCAAACGGCTTTCCTGCCACTGCAAGTGCAGCGGCGTCCAGTACAGACTTCGCAGTCACACGCGCGCGGTTCCGCGCAAAGCTGCTCGTCGTCGACGCACCCTGACTCCCTGATCTCGACACCCCGTTGCTCGATCCCCCGTGACCATTGTCGCCCACTGCGGCGAAGAAATCCGAAAAACTCTCAGTCCCCTTCACCTCCCAACGCGATGCCCGCGTCGCGTTAGCAGACGAGTGCCATGTCGACGAGTCCCCGCCACTCGCGCCCCGCATCGACCGTCTCACTCCCACACACAGCTCCCCCGAAGCGCTGCGCAAAAACACGATCGCGTCCCCTGCTACCAGCTTCTTCTGATTCACAAACGTGCTCCACCCCGTCGTCAACAGATGTCGCCTTGGGGTCCCCCTGTGCATTCAAAACACCCATCAGCGCCTACAGTCCACTCCGTTCCACGCTCATCCAACTACCGCTACCGATCCCAGCGACCACCCATGCCACACACCGAATCCAACTCAACCATGGCAATTGCACCTCATACCTGTATATGTGCCGAAACTTCCACACGTCTCCATGCACATCCTTCGCCAAGACGGTCTGCACGGGAGGATCGCTCGAGTAGTCCAGAGGCGGAAATATTGTCTCCGCACAATACCGCGGCACCGAAAATCCTCCTCCGTTGTTCGCATCGCTCTGCGTCAGCGTTTTCGCAAACGAGGCCGGCTTCTCGGGAGGAGGGGACGATGGGGCTTCCTCCGTCATATCGTTCAATCCATGCAGTCCCTCCGGCTGCAGCCGCATTCGTGCGAACACCTCGTCCGTCTCCGTGTCCGCCAGGAAATTTACTGACACTACTCGGCACGGTATCGTTCCTGACGGACCCATCGATGCGGAGAAATCAGGAGTCGTCGCAGCTTGTTCTCCGTGCCCCTGAGGAAAGTATATCACTTTCGCACCCACCTGCGGGAGTTGAACCATGCCTCCCGCACACGCATGCCACAGCTGCGCATCCAGCCGATCCACGCTTTCCCCTACCCCGCTTGCCATGCTCCTCTCACGCCCTCCGCTGTCACCCAGTTTTTCGGTTTTGATGCCCATCGATAACCTTAACCCTGGCTCAAGCATACCGAGCCAGGACACGGGGAGCTGAGACGGTGCAATCGCTAACTGCTTTCTACTATACCTTATCAGTGCGCAATGCCCTCTTGTTCTGTGCCACCTTTTCCAAAACCCAGGGATCCGGTCTTAGACAGCATTCGTCTCAAAGATCCTTCTCATGCCCACATTCCACCAGCTGCTTCCACGAGGCTTTTGCCTGGAGAGATTGGCCAGCGAATATCCAATTCGACTCGCAACAGATTGAAGAAGCAAGAGCTGCGCCAACCCGCCCCGTACGCCGTACGGCTAACCACCCAAAAGCCCAGAACTGAGCGCCTGATACACCCTCCGACGTCATCAGAACTAGTCAGTCTACGATCACACAAAACTATCTACAGTCCTAACAGCACTATCCATGTCGGCTTCCTCCATCTACCACATATCTTGCCTATGTACTTCAACTCTCTAAGCATGATAGAGGACCTCAAACACTTCCCATTAACAACTCAAATTGCCGATCCAAACTAGGCAATACATGTAAAGCTAGGAAAGTACACATTACGTGCCAATGCTTACATGCCTCTGTTGTGGCCTCCGACCACCACTAATTACTACTCCCGCAGAACCGGTTGCAGACACACTATTCACAACTGTCCAAAATAGGAGGAGTACCCGCCTACCCGGACAGCTTTGGTTACATCGTGGCTAGAGTCGTCAAGCACTGTGTATCAAGCCATCCAGTCTACTTTATGTGCTGTGACAAACAATATGATGCGTGGATTAGCACCAATTCACTCACCCAGGGTTCCACGATGCCTTAACCAACACTCCCTGATAGCTCTTCTTCTCCCACCTCGGATCCGCAAGCTCCACCGGGGAGTATCAAACTCCTACCCTCCCCGATACTCTGTCACAAGCTTCGGCTCATGCCGTACAGGCGCGCCCACCTCGGTCGCTGCTACCTCTTCAAATCGCATGTCGCTCAAATCGTGCTCGAAATGGCCCACGATGACTCCGTCGACGCCGTTCTGAACTCCAACGAGCAATTAAGACTGAAAGATCTTGTCCAATCTCTCACGATGGTGCCTCACCCACCATTATCTGCTTCCTCTACCTCACGAAGCCCACCGCTTCACTTACCTGACAGCTCACTACTTCCAGATACCCTTCTCCAACTCGCATCTCGTCATCGCAAGGTTCACTTTCTTGCCATGAACACAATCTCTCGCTAATCAACTTAGTTGCTGAAGTGATGATATATATATATATATATATATAGCTTCTAACCGCGACCCTAAAGGAGACGCCCTAGCCAGACTGTTGCATTGAGCTCTTCCTCCAACCCAAACCGGAGAGGGAAGTGTGTTTAAGCGCGACCGTGAACCCTACACTGTACAGACAACCGAAGAAGGCAAATCCACAGTATCTGTGGGATGAACAGCCACAACCCGAGTCGAGGAGCTGCCCAAATTTGAATAACCCAGAACCTAAAAACGCTTGCAACCCTCGTTAACGCTCAGGAACTACCTTCCGCGGCCTACACACACTTCCAAATGAACGAAGACGATGAAGCAGCCGCGATTGGTCAGCAGAATGAGTCCGCAAGCCCACACCACCCTCAGGAAAACCTCACTGATTGCTCAACTCCAGTCCCGACATCCGGATGAACAAATCCAGCTCTACACTCCGACACAGACAACGGTGATAAGACACAGAAATGAGGGAAACCATAATGGTCGAAATGCTACCCCGTGTGCCCTAGTTCCTTCCCTCCGTCCTCCGCTCGACCAAGATCGGTTCAAGTACCGTCCATCCAGATTTTACACACTCACGCAACCTCCTCTCACCCGCTGCGACTCTACCCACACACACGCACACCACTATAGAGTAGTAGGGCACTGAGTAGTCTACGACGCGGCCAGGAGAGGGTAAAGAGCTACTACAGCCAGCCCAGGCTACGGCAGGCAGACGGATCAGCGTTTCCTGGTGCCTGCTGCTGCTGCTGCTGCAGCGGGTGCTGCTACAACAGAGCTATGGATGGGATGGCGGCCATGTGGGGTCCTCCCGGTGGGTCGTCCTCCACCATCATTCCCTATACATCTGTGTATAAAGAAATTCTTGGGAGAGCCAAGGTCCGAAAGTATCTATTCGTAAGTCGGTTTGTCCCCGTCGATTGTCCTGCTTCTGTCTTGCTTCCTGTCTGTTCTCTTACACCCGCCCATTTCTTACGATGCTCTACATTTGTCGCCTGCACCCGTTCCCTTCGCTGGTCCAGATGACACACTTATAAAATTCTTGCCCGGACAGAGAAAATGCATGGCCGCGGGTGTCTCACCCCCTTCCTCCTCCTCCTCATTATCATCATCATCGGCAGCAACAGCAGCAGTAGAGCATCATCATCATCATCATCATCATCATCCTCTTCTTCATTATCATCACTCTCTCTCGCTGATGCTTGTGCATCTGTCGTCGTCCATCTACTCTTCCTCCTCCACCCCCACGATCCCGTCGCCCGGCCCTTGCTGCTTCACACACCCAGTAGTAGTAACCCACCCCACCTAGCCCCGCAGACAGTGCCAGACATGGGCACCACCACCACCCCTACTTCTCCGCTCCTGTCGTCTCCTACCACCACGGCTTTTTTTCTCTCTCTATTACCGCGGACGGATGGTCTCCCTCTACCACCCCCGCCCCCGCCCCCGCCCCTGCCCCTCCGCCGTTTCTTGGCTTCTGACCATCGGTCGTTGCAGATATGTTCGTAGATAATACATTGCAATATTTAATAGCAAAAACTGCTTTCTGCACCAAGTGTCTCTGAGCTCCCATTTATTTTTTCTATGTTTGATCATGAGCCTTGTTTTGATTTCGAAGGAATGCGTTGAACCAATTGGTTGATGTATAATAATTTACAGTAAAATAATGAGTCACAATTCAAACAATATAGCCAAGAATTATACATACTTATTCGATGAGAACCAGGTTTTATTTATTTACTTATTCATTTTTTAAATTAACTTTGAAACAAAAACTTATGGTTTGGACTAATAGCATGTGTTCGAAATTTTATTACGTGTAAAAATAAGTTTTCACAAAAAAAACATATGATTTTTCATTCATTTGTTAACAGACCAAAAAAAATAAACTTTAAATTTTTTATGAGATATTATCTTCAATTTTATTATCTCATATATTTTAATTATATAATATAATATAATAATTTCAATAGTGCAATAAATATATATATATATATATATATATATAGTATTAGGTTGATAGCAATGTTCATATTTGAAGTAAGTAAATGAACGGTTTATAAACTATTTTTTAAAAGACCTTGAGAATTCATGATTGATTATGTGGTTTGTGATTGGTCTTAATACAAAATAATATAAAGAATTGGGTGTAAATGACATTCATTGGAGCATAAATTTTTGAAAAAAATTCATAAATTTTATAATATTTTTTTTCTCAAGATATTTGGTTCTGCATTCCGGTTCTTGTTTTTTTTCTTAAAATTGTTACTTGAGTTTGTGATATCTTTTTCTTTTATATATATATATATATATATATATTGTTATTAAGTTTAGATTTTTTTTCAATGTACATTTTAAAAAAACATATGTTAACATGGTTTATATTATTTTTGTTATAACATAAAAGCATAAAAATCCCCATATTTTAATTTTGATGGGAAGTATCATATGCAATACAAAACTATTTATAACAAGAAATCACATCAGGTTTTCAAAAAGTTGAAATACATTTCAAATCTTTGTAGACTCAACTCTGAAAATCAAAATTGTCAATTAGTGAAAATACTCGCTCTTTCATTTTTCTGAATTTGTTTACAATCGTGTATACTTTTAAAAAGGAAAAAAAGTTAGCATTCATATTGAAAGCATAAAAGTTGGTCTCTTTCACTGCATCTTGTTCAAAAATTTAGGCAATTAGTTCTTTGCAGGTTTTGGGATTCAAAATATAATTATTAGCAGAAGAAATGTCAAAATCATATATATATATATATATATGAGAATATTTAATCAACCCATCCAAATCTTAAATTGACCCACTATCAATCATTTTCATCATTTGGCATCTTTAACATTTTCTTTCCTTGCCATACTTTTTTTCTTCTCAATCTTCTTCACTGTTTACCTCTATTGCATTCTCATTTTCTCCCAATGTAAAATAGTTTTCATGTTCAATGTTTTCTCTTTCCCAATTGATCTCCCACGGTCCAATTCTTTGTTCTTTCTTGAAGACACTCCATCACAACTCTTCCCAAGAGTTTCATTATTTACCCCTCTCATCTCTTGCAAAATTAACATGTCACCAAGTACCAAATCAAAAGATTGGAGAAGGAGTGCAAAGCTCTAGGGAATACAAAAGTAAAGTGGATAGAAGTGGGTTTATTGAATAGTCCCATGTATAAATATATATATATATATATATATATGTATATAGATGTATATTCTTTTCTTCTTCTCAACTTTTCATCTTGGTTCATTGTGCCAAAATAATTTTAACCAATAAATTAAGGAACTAGCTATCATTCTTAGCAATGGTATGAGTAATTCAAGATAGTCCAAGTTCCAAAATAATGAGTACTAGAAAATACTTATCAAATCATCAAAAATTAATAATTATGTACACACAATATCACATCCACAACCAGTCATATTTCAATGTAAGTTTGTATTATTTCATGCTTGATTAAAAGTACTTATTTGTGACAACGTTTACAGTAAACAGAACTGACCAGGGTGCTACAAGTTGTACAGGATTCAACCATCATCTCTGCACACGGGCCACAACCACATGGGCAAGTTCAAATCCCAATATTTCACAAAAATATCTTTTTAGCAAACAAATGATCATGATTAACAACAAAAATACGTAGTCCAATTCAAAGGCACTAACCTGCATTGATCTAATATGAATTTATACACTGTTTGAAGGCATTAAAGATGGCAATACCCAAATATAGTGTAAATTCATTTAAGGGCATAAGACACATATATTATAACATAGAATGAATAGTGAAACGTTTACAACAACTATTACTAGTCATAATCCATTATGATTTTCTGTCATTTTGGATTAAAAGTTCTCCAATACTCATGTAATAATTAAACTTCAAAACATAGTTTTCTGGTTTGATTAGATTTGGAGCCTCACAAGAAAGGTTGAGAATTAAGAAATAGGGCATGTAACTGGTGAGAAGTTGATCAGTAATCTGTCCCATGTATGTAAATAAGAAAATGAGCATTGTGTGCGTATGCAAGGTACATACATATACATACATACATACATACACACATTTAGATACTCTCAATGTTATCTTCTTACATGAAAGACTAACTATGCTGGGAAACCAGTTACAAATACGTAGACTATGTATATTATGAGTAGTTTGTGCCCATTGGTAGATTTGAAGGAATGGCAGTGGCAGAGGATTTTGAATATTCGAAAACAGTGTAATATTAAAAGTAAGGGCTTGTGAGAGTTAAGAGAGTGGTCCCGTGCGGAACCACGGTAATGGGACTTATCGTGGTGGCAGGTCTCGAACGTGTGGAATTGAGTCCCCACGGGAGCGCTTGTCAGCTCGCATAGGAGCCTGTGGTTCCCCGCAGCAACATGTAGGACCAGCAACCATTGGATTCGCACGTAGTAGGGACCAGGGCTCCCAGAAAATCAATACCCGAAAATATACTTGATGCTTTCACAGAAGAGCATTCTCGGTCCTAACATGACACCACCCACATCAGTAAAGCCTACCTTGAATGGCTTTGAAGCTTTAATCTTAATTTCTTTCTAGCTCCTTCCCCTTCTTAAAACACTCAAACCCTGCGATCACAACCCCTCTAAGTTTAAACCAAGAATTTAAACGAGAGTTTTTTCCACTGTACATCGTAGTTCTCATGTTTCCCCTGGAGCCCTGTACATAAGAATTCGTATACTTTGTAGATTATTCAATAGATTGATTATATATTTTGTAGATTGTACAGTAGATTGATTCTATACTTTGTACAATTATGTAAACCGAGCCTCTCCCCTCCCCAAAGCAAGGGCTTGTGCTCTACGGGGCAGCGGGCAGAGGACAGAACTATCTGCCTGACATCCGCATGGATGACAGGACACGTGTACATTCATCCCTGGAACACCGCTTGATCAGGATCAGAGAATGTCCTGTCAAGACGAGCATTTCCATCATTATCATTGTTGTTCTTTGCCACGTAAGATTCCACGTCACTCACCCTAATGGCTCCAATTGTAGGAAGAAGCAGTGCTCTTACCTTTTGACCAGTAGTGTTCACACTGGCATTAGAATAGCCACATGACTAACAACGAGACTTCCTTACTTTCTTTGTTCACACTGTCAGGCGTCCCTCTGGCACTTCAGCTGACTTTCTGACTACAGTGTTTGGTGGAACATAATGTTTCTTATGAATATATTTTTATAAACCATCCGTGTGTGGATTGGGTTTTGAATTCATTCCACAATAGAAACCTGGTACGAATACATTTTTCAAAGTAAAATAAAAAGAGGGTATTGACGTCATCATCAAATCTAAGACATGAGAATATGGTAAAACAATAAAGTATGCGTGGGGAGTTAGTTATATAAGTAACTGGCGTGAGTTTGAATGGAACGAATCTGAAGCTGGATAGTGAGGATGGCCACCAATGAATCTATGTGGGTGAGATACCTTGTGTCCTAATCACAAATTTGCTCTCTTAAAATTTTATTGTTGTTATTTATTATAGTAAGAGAGAGCTTTGGCCATTGTCTCCAGCTGTCAAGGATGGGCAGCCAGTGTAAACAGAACAATTTCCCAAGTTTCCACCACTGAATTAAACCTTTTTGTTTAGGTCCTTGGCTTCCTCCCCCCGATGTGCCTACAACAAGGGCCCCCACTTCGAAGGGTCCCATGCTTGGTATTCTACAGTTTCAGAAATTAGTTAAAATGGAATATATATATATATATATATATATATGAAAGAAAGAAGAAATAATTCATATGTGAAATATCAAAGGAAGTAAAAGGAATACATTATAAAAATTCTCTTGAGATTAGATTGACAAAATATCTTCTAGCAATGTACCACTATATATATATATATATATATATATATATATACATGTATATAGATATACACATACACACTCACACACACATATATGTGTGTGCATATTAATACAAATAGCTCAATTTTATTCAGTGTAAATCAAAAATAGTATATGTAGATTTGTTTATTTATTTATTTTTCAAGTTTTAGATTAAACAATAAAAAATTACTCAATAAAAATGAGGAACTTTTGATATAATTCTTTGGCATCAATAGATACAAAATTCCATA